AGACAGTGCTGATATTTAAAAATTATAAAATACTCTTCTAAATAACCCACAAATTAAATTAAAATTGCAGTTAAAAAATAATTTGAAATGAATGGTAATAAAAATAGTACATAAAAAACACTCTGGGAAAACTGTATTGATAAATCCACACATTAGGGACAGAGCCTGAAAATTCACAAATTTTGCATCATCTTACAGACGCGGAATAATAAATTAAATCCAGAGAAAGTGGAAGAATGGAAATATGCAAGTAGTGATGTCTGGAAGGGTATACACTTTGTTTCATGAAATGATTTTTTATTGTTATTCTATTACAGTTTCCCAACTCTTCCCTTTTGCCCTCCTCCACCCATCCCAGCCCACACACCCCCACCTTCTTTAGAAGCATATATACTTAATATAACAGCAGATATTTCCTGTTTGGGTAGGATTTTCAATTATTTTTATTTTTATATATAATTTAAGTAAGCAGCAGCAACAACAAAAAGGCCATCTTAGTTTGGGCTTAAAAAGTACTACAGGAAAACACAGCATAATTTAAAAATAATAATAATCTAGTCTGTTGTGGTGACAACACCAGAGGCCTTTTCTTTGCTCGCCCAGCCTGATCTCATTGTTCAGAGGGGCTCCTTTTCCAGTTTTCACTTCTTCATGTGCAAATGCGGCCGAGCAAAGAGGAAATGAAGGTCTAGATGAGAAGTCCTGTAGATGAGCAGAGAAGCCCTAAGCAGCACAGCAGCAGAGGGAGTTTGCCCCAGGGCTGCCTCACTTCAGGGCCACCTCACAACCCTGATGCTAAGAAACAGCACTACTGAGCTGATACACAGTGTTGTTGATGGGAGAGTCCTGGTTCTTCTTGCTGATGCATGGAAAGAATTATATATCAGCAAATTTAGTAGTATGTAATCAGTATGTAATTAGTGGCCTGTTCCCATGGAAGAGAACAGGACTGGATAGAGTAGGGGGTGAAAGGCAAAGTTTCAGGGCAAAGCAAGGGGACAAAAGCAAGAGCGGCTGAAGACCGGGGTGGCAAGCCCCTGGGCAGCCTGAGGCCAGGTGGCCAAAAGCCTTATGGCCTGAGAGCCAAGAGCACCCGGAGCTCAAGAGGGGGCGGGGGTGGCGGTGGAGATTGCTTTGTTCAGAGGACTTATATAGTTGGTGGGATGGGAGGAAAAAAAGTTACAAATTGATTAACGGGTGAATGCGGTGCCAGCTTTCCCGGGGGAATGTGACTACCCACGCTTAGGTATGTGTGGGGGGTCTGTTAGCCCCCAATTCTTATCTTGCTCCAGACCCCATTTTTTCACCTTGTTGTAAAACAAATATGTGACAGGAGGCAGTTAATTAAAATTGGGGCACGTTCCAAGGTTATTTATGGACTCTTTCTGTAAGCATCAGGGACTCCCTCATAAAACAGATAGTGACCAGAGGTAGGCAATTAACCAAAGTTGTTTTATGGGCTCTTTCTGTGGGCACCGGGGACCCTCTCCCACATTCAGGCCTTGGGATGAAAGCACAGTTTCGAGGCTTTCTTTCCCAGATACTGGAAATGTTACATAGAATTTCAAGGACTTTCTTTCTTGCTAAAATAGTGTTTCTTGTGATACTGAAATGTTGGGAACAAGAAAATTAGGAACTAAATATGACCTTAGTAAACAGGAACCACAATGTAGCTAAAAGGAACTAATAAGGGAGACAGAGTGCAGGATGTAGTTAAGCAAACATCCTATGTCGGGCAGATGCTCTCCCCTGGGTAGGCCAGATAAGCAATGCTTTGTTTAGTTTTAAAAATATGAATTTTACCCTGTTCCCATGCGCAATCTCTGTAAGCAAATAGCTAACTGCCACATCAGCCTCTATGATAACGCTTGCTTGCTCATGCCAAAAACCCTATATAAGGACCTAACTATAAGTGCTCAGGGCGACTCTCGTCTGCAGCCCTTGTGGGTACTGTGTCTCCGGACACTCTGAGAGTTCGCCCCTGCGCAGGTTAAAACTTGGCCAATAAAGTAACATCTTTGAAACCCTGAAAGTCTCCGAAATTGTTCTTGCGTTCGCTGGATGCTACAGAAACACCTGGCAATATTATCAGAACAGGCTTAGGACTGCTGAATTAGCATGTGAGACTTGTCTCCTTCCTCCTCCCTGCCTCGGTTTACTATTTATTCTACCTAATTGGTAAAAGGTGTTTCCTGGCAACCAGGCTGATAAATGCTGGCCAGTGACAGTACTGCAGTCTCAGAGTTCTTCCTATGCTGTCTCCTGCTTCAACAGTGTGAGCAAACCATAAGTTAACAATTTCTCTTCTACTGAAAACTTTATATCTGTTATTATATGTGTTGGATAAAATACATTGAACATACTTCATTTCATGCACAGGGAAGCATAACTAGGGGGAAATTTTTAATGCTTTTCTTTTCATTTCATTTATTAATTTGAAAGACAGAGAGAGACTTAGTTGGTTCTCTTATGTATTCATTCATTGGTTGCTTCTTGTAGGCGCCCTGAGTGGAGAGCGAACTGACTACCTTGGCATATAGGCAGGACATTGTAACCAACTGAGCTACCAAGCCAGGGCTACTAGGAGAAAATTTTGAAAAGTGGAATTTCTGGGTCAGAGGGTATGAGGATGTTATTTCTGGATGGCTATGTTCAAAATGATCACTGGGAAGTCTGTACCAAAGGACCCTTCCCAGAGTCTTTCAGAGCAAGGACACTGCACCTGCTTGCTCATCAGCCTCAGAGATGTCAGGAGTCCTCTGGATCCCCATACAGGCAACCAAATTATGTGGACCTTAAAAATAGAGCAGTCAGTTATTTTACCAGCAGATAAGGGGTTTACTCAGAAACAGTAAAAAAAAATGCAATTTAGGACAAGCAAGCTGTAGCAAAACTCACAGGCCACCTCCACAAGTAAAGGAGAGGAATGTATTTCACAGGGAAAAAGGAGGAAGTTGGGAGGGGTGACTTCAAGTGAAAGTGCATTGCAGAAAAGTGTCAGTTCAGGGTGACGATGGTTTCTCTCTGGCTGAGGTGCTGGGGAGTCGGTTTCTCCTGGGAGCACACATTACCATCTTCATGTTGGGGCCTGTGACAGACAATTTTTCCTGTCATTGACCCTGGGTGATGCTATACGACAGCACCCCCACTGACCCCCAACTCCACTTTAGTGTGGTTTCCCTTTATGCAGTTTCACAGTAATAATTAGTTGGCTCATTTCAGGTCTATGGAAATCAAGTTATATTTACGTGCTCAAAACGAGGTAAGGACCAGAAACACTCTTCCCACTTTATCCCGTGAAAGCCAGTAGCAGCGAAACTGACCCTGCTCTGTGGACCCCTGTACTCACATTTTATGTTATTTTTATGCAAAATATTTGTAGGTTTGTCCAGCATTTCTACATTTATTTAGTTTTGTTTGGTTTTATCTCGTCTTCCTGATAGGGGCTTAAGACTTGGGAAAATTTAGTTTAAGGTAAATAGTCATAAATCTAGCAAGTAATGTGTATGTTAAGTTTTTGTTTCAGTAACTACAGATCAGGCCCATCCTGGCGCCTGAGAATAAGCAGCTGACCTCCTGGAGACATCTGTACCAGGAAGAAGCAAGCGACCACCCTTCCCCCTTGGAGGCAACTGTTGAATTTGAAAGGCTTTCGCTGACACCTTGTTTGCCCTCCTACAACCCCCTTATAAAAGATCTGGCCGGGAAAGAAAGAGTAAGATGGTTTGTTAGGGTATGAACCCGCCATCTTCTCGGATCGCCGGCCATCTGAATAAAGCGCCTATAAAAGATTCAATCACTGTCATTGCTTGTTGGATTTGGTAGTGACAGGCAGCCGGAACGCCGGTGTCTTTTCCGGTTACACTCATATTCCTGAAATGTTTTTACACCTGAGTTACTTAAACACACCTATCAATCGTAACACCACTTCCTTGAGACATGAAATTCTACCAGTGTGTTTTCCAGTATACTTATTATTCTATTGGTTGTGTTTACATACTTGAGCCCTCTGGGACTTATTTTGTGTCTATGAATTGCGTGCTCAAAATTCACTGACTTAAGTTTCCACAGAACGCAATGCAGTCTTGACGGCGTCCTCACTGCTTCGGCAGACCTAGCTGAAAGTGGGTTTGAAAAGGTGGGGGTGGGGGGCACGGACGGGCCTAGGTGTGAGTTGGGGATCCCGACCACAGTCTGGTGGAACAAAGATACTTTGCCAGGCGGCAGGAGGGCCACGTCCACCCTAAGGTCCAACCCGGCTCGGGACTCCCAGCTCCTGCGGGGCGGACCCCTCACCAGCTGCGGGAAAACGAGCCACCGAGCTGCAGGCTGCGTGACTGGTGCTCGGGAGACCCAGGGTAGCCAATCCCCGCGGGGCGGGGCGGGTCTGCTGCTGGCCTGTGCCGAACTCAGGGGGCTCTGCCCCGCCCTTTCAGCTTCTTCTGACCGCCCATTGGCGGGCAGGGCCCTGGGATCCCAGCACTGATTGGCGGATTGTGCCCACGCGGCTATCCAGGGTGGAACCTCCTTCCCAGGGCAGGAAGCCCAGGAGCTCCGAGAGGGCGCTCGGCCGAGGTGGGCGGCGCGGCGGCAGGGACCCCGGGAGACTGGCCGGTAAGCGGGGAGCCCTGCCCTGGGGAACCCTCAGCCCGAGACCTTCCAAGTCCAGCCAGAGAGACCCCAGATGCCCTCATCCCGAGGGGCCCCAAGCCCCTTCAGCACCGAGGGGCCCGCGTCCGCTAACCCGGAGGACCCCACGTCTCCTGACCCCCAACGCTCAGACCCCCAAACAGCCTGGAAACCCCAGTTCCCCTCAGCTCGGGGCGCCCTTCCTGCAGCTCGCCCGCCCGGGAAAAGACCAAATCCCCCCAAACGCAGAGACCCCGAATGCCGTCGTCCTGGAAACTGACTCAGTGGAGGGGACCCGGAAGCCCCTCGTGAGACGCCCCAACCCCCCCCTCAGCCGCGGCGGTCTGGCCCTCTCCCCCCCGGGACGCTGAGTGTCCTCCGCCCGGAAGACGCAGATCGTGTCCTGAGGGACCCCGAGCCTCTCAGCCCGAGAGACGGCGGAGTGCCGGACACTGCGCCCGCGCCTCGCGCGGGCTTCTCCGGACCCCCGGGGCGCCTCCGGGCCCTTCCCCGGGAGAAGCGCGTTTCCTGGCGCCGCCCGGACCCGCCCTGCGGATGGGACCCCTCAGACGCCCGGGCTGCGGCTTCCGGAGCCCGCGCTGAGGAGGCGTGTGGGGGGAGGGGCGGGAACAAGGGCGCCCCCGCAGGCGGCCCCTCCAGCCCCTCCGTCCCCCTCTCCGGGCGCCCTGCCCTCGGCGAGAAAGGCGGGCACTGGAACGTGAAGAGGAACTCGGACGCGCTCACCAGCCCAGGTAGCGCGTGCGCAGGCGCTGGGCTGGTTTCGGCTCTGGCGGCTCCATCCCGCCTGCAGCTCCCTCCCGCACGGACAGGGATCTCAGGGAGTTTGCTCCTTCAGTCAGAGCGGGGCCGGCGCTGACGAGGGTGCGGGGCTCACGGCAACTCACTGCAGACTCTCCCGTCCCATCGGAGCCAGTCCGACGGGTTTCCTGGGCTTGTCCCTCCCCCACGCTCTCTGCTTCAGGACAGAGGTTTCGTCTCTTCCCAGGTCTCTGAGCTCACGACTCGCTTTCCTGTGTCACCGCTGCAGGCGGGCCACCGAGCTCCAGGAGGACGACCCGTGAGGACTCGGATGAAGAACGGGCCCCCGAGGCAGCACGGTGAGCGGCGGGAGGAGCCAGCGCTGCCCTCCCGACTCGGACCCGGTGTGGGTCGGGCGGCATCTCAGGACGTCACCAGGGAACAGGTTTGCTGGTGCAGCGGACGAGGAAGAGGCACAACAGTGTGTCGTACAGTGAGGGGCTGTTCCCGTAAACTTTCACGTGGGCAACGTAATCGTCTATATTTATAGATGCGTTAATAAGCAGTAAATGTGTAGGAACATAAAGTGAGCGAGAAATAACTAATTCAGAAGGGTCGTCAGCACAAGAGAGGGAGGCGGGTCTGGCCGGTGAGGAGGGTCCCCACACCTGGCCGCGCGCGCGGTGGCCTGCATGGAGACGGGGGCAGGGAACAGTGTTAACGTGGTGATGGCGGGAGCTGGGGGAGGGCCAGGGTCGGGAGGGGTTGATCACCGTGTGGTTTCCTGATGTCGGCCCCATGTTCTGTCCAGTATCATGAGTGTTCGGAGGGTGGGGTCGGTCCACTTTCGTGGGTCTGGGGTTGACACACGGCTGAGGTCAAGATGTGATCTTCAACTTCACTGGAATTCTGTTTCTGTGGTCAACAGAGTATTGATACTGACCAGAGTCGAATGACTGAGGAAGGGCGTGGGTGGCCGGTATGTGCCCAGGGGGGAGGATACCAGAGAAAGGAGGCCGGGTGGTCGAGGTGCCCTCAGCCCGGACAAGGCCAGTTTGAGTGACGAAAACAGGAAAGAGAAAGGGTTATGTTGAAGACATGGAGTTTCTGTGCAGTTACTTGTATTACATTTTTGTCAGGAGAGGCCAATTTATTTAATAAGTGCAATAGATGCTTTATGAACATAGGGTGAAGAAGCATAGATGACACTTTGCCTATATTTTTATCATTCTAATGAAATTACTGGATGGCCCCAATAGAAGTCTAGGCCTTAATGATACCTCAGAAAACATTTTCCAGTCATCTTGGGATTGGTCTTGGACTACTCTCATTCAGAATTGTGTCCCTAATAAGAATCTCCAGGTTTGGGAAACATTTACCAACCAAAACACTGATTTCCCATCATCTTTCAGTGAAATCCTGGGTGGCCTTCAGAAGAGAACACAGTAAACACCGGAAGGTGAGTATGTCTCAAGTCCTGTTGACAAGAAAGTTTTCCTCGTGGATAGAAATGCAGGTAAGAGTAGGAAAATGCAGAAAATATCTTAGGGACTGCCACCTTCCTTTGCTGGTCTTTTAATACATTGTGCGACATTATCATCCTTTTTTTTAACATTTATTTATCGAATTTTTAGACAGGGGAATGGAGGGAGAAAGCGAGGGAGAGAAGCATGTGGGAGACACACATATATATCTTGTCTCTCACACTCCCCCAGCGGGGGCATCTGGTCCACAGCCCAGGCATGTGCTCTGACCAGGAATGGAACTGCTGACCTTTCAGTCTGCAGGCCAGCGCTCAATCCACAGAGCCACACCAGCCAGGGCTCATCATCATCTTAATAGTTAACAACTACAGCAACAATAGTAACTACCATTTGTTTCATTATCACAGTGTTTCAGACTTTAAGAATTCTGTGTGAATAAACTCACTTAAACATTACAACAACTCGATGAGGTACGTACTATAACTGTCACCATTTCTGATTGAGGAAGTAACCTTTCAGAGATATAGAAAAGTGACTAGATGTCTAAGATCAGTGGTAGTGCAATCTAACCCATAGTTGCTTCTCTAAACCACTTACTAACTCACTGAAACTTGCATAGTTGTACCCTGGCCAACATGACTCGGTTGGGTGACATGCTACAAAGCAAAAGATCATTCGTTTCATTCCTGGTCAGGGCGTATGCCTGGGTTGTGGGCCAGGTTCCCAATTGGGATGTGTGGGAGAGGCAAGTGATCAATGTTTCTCTCTCACATCAATGTTTCCCTCTCTCTCTTTCTCCCTCCCTTTCTCTCAAGAAAATAAACAAAATCATTTTTAAAAATTAGAAAAATAAACTTTCATAGTTTTCTCAAGTTTACATTGTCTTATCCATATGTCATTACATCATTCATCTGACTGATATTTCAATTGAAGTTCTTCTCTGCTGTGCTGAAGTGAGAGATGCACGAAGACCCTTTGACTAAGGACAGTGTACACTGTCTAGGCAGTTTGTATAATGGATGGTCCCAGATGAAGAGGAATGTAAAATGTCCAGGATCACAGCCTCCCACTCTAATCAAAGAAAGCATCTCTCAGCCCTGAGGAGCTTCAGGTTTGCTGATTGAGAAACAAAAAAATAATAACATGACTTAAGGACTTCATATAGGTTACATACTCTTCAGCAGAAACGCATCTGTCTGGAACTCATTTCAAATGCTGTTTCTTGTAAGGTGAAGTAACGGCTTCTTTCTCTTAGTACCAATGACCAATGAGGCCACTCTATTCTGTTTAGAATCATTTGTTCAGCCTTCCTACCTCTGCGTTGTGACCTCTTTGAGAGGCTGGTCCATACCTGAGTCTTCTCAGAGGTCACAGGCCCAGGTCAGGGCCCTTGGGGGCCCCCAAATGTTTGCTAAATGGATGATTTCACAATTACAAATTAAACTAGAAGATGATTGATGAACGCTGAAGGTAATTTCAGTGAATTTTGAAATATGGAGAGAGCTAAGGGGTAAATTGATAGCAGGACTGTAATCTCACTTCATACTATATTACACAATTCACAACACTTTTGTGAGTGTTATTTAATTGCACATTCACTAGAATATTGAAAATTAGCATGTTATAGATCATGAAACTGAAAACAACTAGCTACTGATACAGCATTATTCAAACAGAATTGGTGGGAACCAGCTGATCTAAGTACAAATATTCTTTCTAAGGTATTTCAAATTTTATCACCATTTTATTTATTGTCTAGATGTTTCTGCCAACTATTTCTTTATTCTCTTCCAAATATCCTTCACTCTCAATACTGTAGACACAGTTTAAAGAAAAGAGCCATAAGGCAAGAGTTATAATCTTGGATTCATTACCCATATTGGCCCTCTCCCCTCTATATTCATACTCCCTAGGTATTTCCAAGGGTTGAAGTTTTAAAAGCATGCCTGTAAAATGTATCATAAGCCTTAAAAATTTAAATACATGTTTTCTTTTAATATGTCACTCTTACATTGAAGGCAACATCCAGGGTGCCATTAAGCAATGAATATAGTTTGAAGGAATTGTCAGGAACAACAAATTTGAGGACTGCAAGTGACTCAGAGCATTCCCAGAAACCAGTGTCCTCTCCTGGAGAAGCATGTGCCTTTGGAAAGCACACTAGATGAAAATCAGGTTAAGAGAAAAAATGTGGAAACTTTCGTTCCTCTAAGTCCTGTGGAAGGGCTGATAAGTATGACCTAGGTATGTGGGGTGGACTTTGGATGGGCCTGGATTTAAGCTGGGCTAAGCCGAGACTGAAGTTATCACTGGAGCTTTGGACAAATCCTATAAATTCTCTGAGCTCCTGAATGCTAATGTGTAAAGTGAAGATAAGGATACTTCACTCATATATCACTTGAAAATGTTAAATTAAATTTGAAACAATTGACACATGCAACTTGTCCAATAAATCCATCTGTGATAATAGCAACCACACTTTATTGGTGTTGTGTGCCCAGGCCTTTCCTCAATGCCTAACACACAAAGTGCACTCAGTAAATATGTTATGAATGATTAAAGGTTGGCAAGTAAACCTGGTAATGGGGAGATCTAGAAACTAAAATTGAATCAGTCATCTGTAGTTAGAGTCTTAGTCTTCTCAACCAATAGTTAATGGAATAAAATATCAGAGTATGCAAAAGGACAAGTAATCATTTGATGGGAGGAGATTGTGTTATCTGACAAAATGGGAACTAACACTCTAGACCCCACTAACCTCGCTTACCTGCCCTTCTCCAACTCAGAACTCAGGAGAAAGGAGAATGATGTGAAGATGTACAGCCTGAAATAAAGAAAGGACTGTGTGTACGAAGAGGTCAGCATGCCCCAGGATGATGACTACTTTTGTAAGTGACCCTCACTAAGAACCAAGTTATGGTACAATAATTTCATCTAGTCCTTTGGTCCCCAAATCATTCCCTTCCTCTACTGACCTGGAGTACAGGATTGAGTCTCAATGATGTGACTGCCGGACTCCCTCTGAAGTTCTTTGTGTCCACGAACATGTGCTATACCTTCCCTAACCCCTTTTGCTCTCACCTCCAGATTGTGAGAAGTGTCAGAATTTCTTCACTGACAGCTGTGCAGTGCACGGACCCCCTACATTTGTGAAGGACACTGCAGTGGACAAGGGGCATCCCCACCACTCAGCCCTCACCCTACCCCCTGGGTTGAGAATCGGGCCGTCAGGCATCCCTGAGGCTGGGCTTGGAGTGTGGAATGAGGCAGCAGACTTGCCAGTGGGTCTGCACTTTGGCCCTTATGAAGGACACATCACAGAAGATGAAGAGGCAGCCAAGAGCAGATACTCCTGGCTGGTAAGAACTATTTACCTCTTCCACTGCCCTCTGGTTTCTCACATTCCTACTGAGGCTTGGATGAACCTCACCTCACCTAGATTCTAGTCATGGAGGGGATAATATGGTTAGCTCTGTGTACTGACTGGACTTTACATGAACACAGAGCTCCTGTTTAAGGATCAGAAGGTAAGTGGGAGCAAAGTGGTGCAGACAGAAAAGAGTCCACATCCTGAACTGCACAGGTAGACTCAGATGTGTAGATGAGGACTAAGAAAAACATCATGTGGTGACAACTGGCAGTTGAATCCCCATGCACGCTAGAAGAGCTTTAATGACAGTAGAGTAAAATAATTCTTCTGACTACTACCTCCCCACAAAAGAAATAAAAGGTCTTTAACTTCTTTTCTGACACACAGATCGCCAAAGCAAGAAACTGCTATGAGTATGTGGATGGAAAGGACAGATCCTGGGCCAACTGGATGAGGTGAGGTCAACAGGTCTCTGGGTGCCAGAGGGGACACTCATCCCCCCCCAAGCCCATAAATCTTTCCCCTCTCATGCCTTGCTCAGTGCTCTCCCTCCATCCTTTTTTTCTTCTTTTTTCTCTATATAGTGTTTTTTTTCATTTCAGGGGACATTTAGGAAAAAAGTATAACATATGTCTTCAAAATATAAAACTCTACTAGAAACAACTTGTGCTCTGGAAAGGACCTTGAAGAGCCTAGATTCACCAGGGACACTGGATTACACTTGAATTTATCAAATGAACATTAATTAAGCACTGACTATATTCCAGTTTAGGTGAAGGAATACATTACTTACACAGATCACACAACCCATGTCCTTATGAAGGACTTCTTGCAGACAGACACAAAACAATTGCTTTTAGAAACATTTAACTATCATTTCCACGAGGCACACAGTGTCAAAATAGCATAAACCAAGTGTGGCCTAAACCTGTGAGGGCAGCACACCATTCCAGCCTCACTTCTAATTAGATTTGGGCTCTGAAACCTGCAGAGGAATGGTCATGGGCCCCTTTCCTGAGAGGGGCTCTCTTTTATCAGGGATAACAATGTGAACCAACTACTATTGTTCTGTTTTATTTTACTAAGACAAAAGGACCTCCAGTTTTCTATAGTAACCTTGGGCCAGGCAAGTGAATGGTACCCTAAATAAAGTGTAGGGGGGGTTGGACAAAGGCCTCTCAAGAGAAAACAGATGTGGGCTGAGTACTGGGAAATTAGTGAGCTGATTTAGAAGCAGAGCCCTAGATCAAGCACCAGGTTCTGTTGTGTGAGACAACTTGATTTAGAGCTTGGGGAAGCCAGAGATCACTGGATATTATGGCCAGTCAGGGTGGAGGTTAAGTCTAGAACTGGGTTTTAGAAAATGGTATTAGGCAGGATTAGCACTGCAAGCAGGACTTGGAGGTAGAAATTCACATGACATGCTGACAGGCTCAGACACTGAACAGAAGGTTCCCCGGGAGCATGAGGGGCAGTGGGTAACACCAGAGCCTGAGGGCCTTAAGAATCAGCGAGCAGCTGGACATGGATGTAACAGGTAGTGGGAACTCATCACTGAGGTTTTCTTTCCCTTCCTCTGCCTCAATCCCAGGTATGTGAACTGTGCCCGGGATGATGAAGAGCAGAACCTGGTGGCCTTTCAATACCACGGGCAGATTTTCTACCGAACCTGCCGGGTTATCAGGCCAGGCTGTGAGCTGCTGGTCTGGTTTGGGGACGAGTATGGCCAGGAGCTGGGCAACAAGTGGGGCAGCAAGTGGAAGAGAGAGCTCTCGGCTGAGAGAGGTGGGCACCAGTGTTCGTCCTCAAAACGGAAAGAAAAGAGAAAATTCTCCAAAGGAATATTTATGATCCAACTCTTAAGTAGAGTTGGATCCACGCTAAAGTCATTACAGTTTCAAATCAAATGCTTCAGAAATTTTCAATTCATTCATATTCCTTTGACTCTTAGGCAAAATTTTTATATTTTTTATTTTTAAAATATTTCATGAACAAAATGTACAGCTGAATATAGTGCTGGATGACTGAGAGGGAAAAAATTTTCAAGCACTAACCAGTTTTCTCACTGAGGCAGTTTTTCTGATACTTTTATAGCTGTTTCTTCTTTATTTTCCTCTATACTTCTAAATAAAACATTTCTATTTATATGCATTCATTATTTTTTAAAGATTTTGTCCTGGCTGGTGTGGCTCAGAGGATTGAGTGCTGGCCTGTGAACAAAAGGGTTGCCAGTTTGATTCCCAATTGGGTCTCATGCCTGGGTTTTGGGCCAGGTCCCCAGTATGGGGCATGTGAGAGGCAACCATATGTCTCTCCCTCTCTTCCTTCCCCCTTTTCCGAAAATAAATAAATACATAAATCAAACATTTTTAACCAAGATTTTATTTATCTTTACAGAGAGTGGAAAGGAAGGAGAAAGAAAAATCAATGTGCAAGGGAAACATTAATCGGTTATCTGTGGCACGCCCCAACTGGCCCACAACCCTAGCCATGTTCCCTGACTGGGAATCGAACTTGTAACCTTTCAGTTTGTGAGACAACACCCAACCCACCAAGCCACACCATTGAGGCAGGGCACATTCACCATTTCAGTGAATTGTCAGGTGAGATTCTATTCTGTGGGACAGAGGATCCTGGGACCTGGAAAAACAGATCAATATGAGGATGAGAATCACTGCTCTTGAGGAGCTGACCAATAAAGGAGGAAAACCCAGGCACGTGCTTGCCTGTGCATAACACTACATGGCAGATACTGCTTTGGAGAAAACTAATGTAGGACAAGTTCCTAGGGATCAGTGTGAGGGGTGGTACAGTGTGGCACGTGGTCCGGGAAGGGCTCACTCAGGAGATAACATTTACAAAAATACCTGCGGGCAGAGGATCCCAGATAGAGGGAGCAGCTAGTGCAGGGAATAAAAGAGGTGTGGCATTGACTTGGCTGAGGGTCACTTAAGTCTCGTCTCAGCACGGAGGGTAAGAATCACACATGCTTAGCACTGGAAATGCAGTGCTGATGACCTAGGTTGAGACACTGGGGACTTTCATGAGTGGAAGTGTGCAGTCATCAGCTGTAGAGGGGTATGTTCTCTGTTCAGATTATGCTTTGTTAATTTTTAGGAAATAAACTTCAGTAGGGAATCCCCTTAGAGATTACTTCATCTCCAAGTGAGAGCACATGGTGGATTGTCCAGAGAGGAACAGGAGTCAGGCCTGTAAGAAGTGTGGTTGGAGAAATACTTTGAAACAGGACTTCTTAGGATATTTGAAATGGACTAACACTGAATGAGATGAAGCATAAATATTTGGTGTGAGGCTTGAGAAAGGACTTTTAAGGTTTTATTTATTTACTTTTAGAGAAGAAGAGGGAGAAAGACAGGGAGACATCAATGCGTGGTTGCTTCTCACACACCCCCTACTGGGGACCTGACCCACAACCCAGGCATGTGACCTGACTGGGAATCTAACCTGTGAGTCCTTGCTTTGCAGGCTGGCACTGAATCCACTGAGCCACACAATCAAGGGCAGGAAAGACATTTTATTTTATAGTATTGAAAACTTGAGAAGCAATTCCTAGATTTCCTCAGGATACCTGTACTTGAGAAAAGTCACTGAAATTCAGGGAGTGAAACTTTCTCTCATGCTACTTTAATGTCCCTAGTCTGGGCAGTGTTAGAAAAGACCCTTGATAGGGGTTTTCTGGATTTTTTTTTTTTTTAAGATTTTATTTATTTATTTTTAGAGAGGGAAAGGAGAGAGAGAGAGAGAAACATCAATGTGCGGTTGTTGGGGGTCATGGCCTGCAACCCAGGTATGTACCCTGACTGGGAATTGAACTTGTGACACTTTGGTTCGCAGCCCGCGCTCAATCCACTGAGCTATACCAGCCAGAGCCGGGTTTTCTGGATTTCTGAAGATGCACTGCATAAAAATAAAAAGGAAGATAGACTGTGAGTGGTCACTGGGAAATAGCTTGTGTTGTCACGACAGTAAGAGTTATTCATGGGGCAGGTCTTGCCAGGAAACAAGTTGTGCGGCCCAGGCATTCTGATCAGCATATCCACCCTTACCAAACCTTTCTCTTTCAGGAGAATCAAAGCCAGAGATGCACCTATGTCCCTCCTGCTCTCTGGCCTTCTCCAGTCAGAAATTCCTCAGCCAACACATGAAATTCAATCATCCCTCCCAGTTTCTCCCGGGAACATCTGCAAGAAAACACCTCCAAGCAGAGGAACTCTGTCCAGAGGATCAGAATCAGCAGCAACAACATACTAGTACACCCAGCTGGAATGATAAAGCTGAAGGTGAAGAGGTCAAAGAAAGGTCAAAACCTTTGCTTAAAACGATCAGTCAGAGGAGAATCTTAAGGCCCTTTTTCCAACCTTCCAAAGAACAAATGACAAGCTCTAGTGAGCATGAGAGAATGATGGAGGAAGAGCCCCACAGAGGCCAGAAAGAGAGTCCAGAGGACACAGGCAAGGTATTGGTGAAAGTAGGAATGTCAAGAATTGTAGCAATTGAGCACAGAAGCTGTTGGCAAGGCTTCAGTGATGGGTCACATCTCATTACACACCAGGGGACATACTCAGGGGAGAAGCCCTATGTTTGCAGGGAGTGTGGGCAGGGCTTTACAGACAAGTCACATCTCATCACACACCAGAGGACACACTCTGGGGAGAAGCCCTACGTTTGCAGGGAGTGTGGCCGAAGCTTTACCTGGAAGTCAGTTCTCATCACACACCAGAGGACACACTCAGGGAACAAGCCCTTTGTTTGCAGGGAGTGTGGGCGGGGCTTTATCTGGAAGTCTCGTCTCATCAGACACCAGAGGACACACTCTGGTGAGAAGCTCAATGTTTGCAGGGAGTGTGGGCGGGGCTTTACAGACAAGTCACATCTCATCACACACCAGAGGATACACTCTGGGGAGAAGCCCTACGTTTGCAGGGAGTGTGGCCGAAGCTTTACAGACAAGTCAAGTCTAATCACACACCAGGGAACACACTCTGGGGAGAAGCCCTATGTTTGCAGGGAGTGTGGGCGAGGCTTTATACGAAAGTCACGTCTCATCATACACCAGAGGACACACTCTGGGGAGAAGCCCTATGTTTGCATGGAGTGCGGGCGAGGCTTTGCACAGAAATCAGGTCTCATCAGACACCAGAGGACACATTCTGGGGAGAAACCCTATGTCTGCAAGGAGTGTGGGCGAGGATTTACTGACAAGTCACATCTCATCAGACACCAGAGGACACACTCTGGGGAGAAGCCCTATGTCTGCCGGGAGTGCGGACGAGGCTTTACAGACAAATCAGGTCTCATTACACACCAGAGAACACACTCTGGGGAGAAGCCCTATGTTTGCAGGGAGTGTGGGCAAGGCTTTGCACAGAAGTTACGTCTCATCACACACCAGAGGACACACTCAGGGGAGAAGCCCTATGTTTGCATGGAGTGTGGGCGAGGTTTTACAGACAAGTCCGTTCTCATCACACACCAGAGGACACACTCAGGGGAGAAGCCCTATGTTTGCAGGGAGTGTGGGAGAGGCTTTACACGGAAGTCAGTTCTCATTACACACCAGAGGACACACTCAGGGGAGAAGCCCTATGTTTGCAGGGAGTGTGGGCGAGGCTTTACCTGGAAGTCAGCTCTCATCATACACCAGAGGACACACTCTGGGGAGAAGCCCTATGTTTGCAAGGAATGTGGTCGAGGCTTTATAGACAAGTCAGGTCTCATCACACACCAGAGGACACACTCTGGGGAGAAGCCCTTTGTTTGCAGGGAGTGTGGGCGAGGTTTTATAGACCAGTCACGTCTCCTCAGACACCAGAGGACACACTCAGGGGAGAAGCCCTTTGTTTGCAGCGAGTGTGGGCGAGGCTTTACACAGCGGTCACATCTCATAAGACACAAGAGGACACACACAGGGGAGAAGCCCTATGTTTGCATGGAGTGTGGGCGATGCTTTACGGACCCATCACATCACCTCAGACACCAGAGGACACACTCTGGGGAGAAGCCCTATATCTGCAGGTGGTAGGGTGAGGCTTTATTGAAAAGTCAGATCTCATCAGACATCAGAGGAGAAGCCCTATGTTTGCAGGGAGTGTGGGTGATGCTTGACACAGAAGTTAGTTCTCATCATACATTACAGGACACACTCAGGAGAGGAACTCTGTGCAGGGAGTGTGGGCAAGGCTTTACACAGCAGTCACATCTCAGACACCAGAGGACTCATTGTGGGGAGAAGCCCCGTATTTGCAGGTGAAGGGAATCATTACCATTAAATCACATGTCAATAGCCCTACGATGTCCATGGATCGTTAGTCTCCCCAAGATTGTAATTAGTACAGAAGTAACTGGTTAAACAAACCCTCCAGTTTCAGGACAAGAGATGAGATTGACAAACAGTTCCATGAGTGATATGGGAATGTCAGCACCAATCTTCTTCATGGTTTTTTGACATCCTATTCTAAACAGTTTTGTCTCCATACAAATATGAAGCCCACATCGCACATTCCCCCATCACTGAAAGCAGAGAGTTCGGGAAGAGCCACAAAGAACTCATCCTCTCAGCCACAGAAATTCAACTCCTACAAATGGGGAAGTCTTGAGACAGACTCACCAGGGAAGGGAATTCCCCAGACTCCTGGGATGGGGGCCTTCTTCTCCTAATAGGCTCCCTACCCTCCTCCCTTGGCTTCCCTTGGCTCTTCTGTTTTCCTACCACCTCTGGAGTCTCCGAGGTGAATGGCAGGGAGGATGTGTGCTTGTGCATGGATGTGAGCCTGGCTCAGTCTGGGCACCTGGTCTTCCTCACTCTCCTTGCTGCCCCTTCAGGGTCAGCACTTCATGGTGCACAGCATACCAGTTCCACATCGGTGCATGGTGGGTGTGATTCTGAACTCTGTCTTCTCCAGCTGTGTGACCTAAGGCAAGATTCTCAACGCCTCTCTGCCTGTTTCCTAGTCTGTACAATGGAAATGGGAACTCCAGCCTTTTTGACATTCAAAGTTGAGTCAGCACAGACAGAATCTGGCAAGAGGATCACTAAAATCACAAGCCCTGGTGAACAGTCCTCAGTGCCCATGTCTTCTGGGTCTTTAACACTGGACAAAGGAAGATAAGGACAGGGTAGGGATCTGTAGCCAAACTCAGATTTTGAGCAGATACCACTCCCACATAGACTCATTTGCCCTGAGGAGGCCGGAGGAGGGGGATTCGCTTCCCTCCAGGTCAGCACCCTCCCACTGATCTGCACACCCTCAGAGCCTCCTCAACAGGCAGGTCGTACTGAGAGTGACCTGTGAAACAAGACCCTAGCTCACACCTTGCTGAGAACTGACATTAGGAACAGTTCCTGCACTGGTGTGTTAGGAAAGATGGTAAGGCAGGGAGGACATGTCTCACCCAGTAGCTCAGCAGTTGTGAGCCTGGTTCAATCCTATTGCCAGATGTTCCAATATCACAAGAAATACCATGCTAACATGTTGAAATTCTAGGTATCATTTCCAGTATCTGGCAGAGATAGGCTTTCAAACTGTATTTGTCCCAAGGCCTAGAAGATGGGAATGGGTCCACAGCACTCAAGGAAAAGACCTATAAGACAAATTTGGCTAATAGCTTTCCTCTGGTCACTATCTGTTTTATGAGAGGGTCCCTAGTGCTTACAGAAAGAGCCCACTGGTAACTTTGGGTAACTGCCTCAAGTTTAACTCTCTTGTCACAGATGTATTTTACAAGATGACCAAATGGGGTCTGAAGCGAGGTAAGGATTCAGGCTAACAACTCCCACACATTACCTACATTTGGGTAATCACATTCCCCATGGAAGCTGACACCACCTTGCCCACCAATCAGTATGTAACTTCTCCCCCATCCCAGCAACTACCAGTATATAATTCCTCAGGGCAAAGGACCTGGTGCTCTTTCACTCCCATCTCAGCAAGACCCGTCCTCTTCCATGAGAATGTATCACTAATAAACAACCAGTCTCAGAACAGGGTCTGTGTCCTGTATCAATGTCCTTAATCTTAGCTCTGGAGCACCTCCAGAGTTTTCTGACTATCTCCTGCCTCAAACCCAGGCATGTGCTCTGACGGAATGGAACTGGAGACCTTTTGGTTTGCAGGTGGGTGCCCAGCCCACTGAGCCACACCAGTAGAGCCATTGCTTGAGTCTTCTTGCAGGTACCTTGACCAGGGATCAAATCTGCAAACTGGTTTCCAAGCCCCCCCGCCCCCCCCAAAAAAAAAACCTGTAGAGATATAAAAAACTTCACATGAACCCTGGCTGGTGTGGATCAGACAACTGAGCACCAGCTTGCAAACCGAACAGTGATGGGTGGATTCCCAGTCAGGGCTCATGGCTGGGTTGGGGGCCAGATTCTCAGTTTGGGGTGTGTGAGAGGCAACCGATTGATGTATCTCTTATACACATGGACACATCGATGTTTCTCTCCCTCTCTTTTTCCCTCCCCTCCCTTCTCTCTACCAATAAGTAAATAAAATCTTTAAAAAAAATAAACTTAACATGAGCAGTAAAATTGGATTCAACATTTAGGGATGATCCACTCTACCCAACATTTCCTTCTGATCTGCACCAAGGTGTTTTCCCAACGTGAACACCAGATGGCAGAAGAGAGGCGCACAGGGGACATATTTTCAGTGATCATGTTGTACTGTAAAGCAAGTTCCAACAAACTTCAAAAAATTCAAACTATGTAAAGCATATTGTTAGAACTAATTGCACTTAATCTAGAAATCAGTAACAAAAGGTTACTAAAAAGTCCTTATTTTTAAAAGTGATGAAACACACATCTAAATAACATAGGATTCCACATTCCTAGATGATCCACTATAATGCACTTTTCCTGCGGACCTGCACTGCATTATTCCTAAGTTGAACACCAGATGGCAGCACAGAAGCACACTGGTACTATGAAGCAAGTTTCAACACACTTCAAAGGACTGAAATTATAGAAAGTAACATTTCTTGCTCTCATTGCAATTAATCTAGAATTCAGTAACAAAAGGTAACTGGAAAGTCCTTATATCTGGAAGTTATGAAACACACTTCTAATTAACCCCCAAATAAATCACTATTGCAGTCGGAAAAGAATTTGAACTTAAAGGCACTACATACCACAAGCTACAGGGAAATGGGCAGTCTTCAGTTCGCACAGCAGGAAAGGACAGAAGCTGGCACTCCAATGGCTCTGAACCCACACAAAGACCCCTGCGTAGTGAGTCCAATCCAGAGAAACTAGCAGAAAGGAAATGTGCACATGCAGATATCTGGGAGGGATACACTTAAAGTGGTGGCAGTTAATGTTCCTTGGGATAGGATTTTAATTAACTTCATTTTTCTGTATAGTTTCAGTAACCTGCAACAAACAAAGCCATTTCTATTTTAGGGAAAAAGTACCACAGAAAAATGTGGAATCGTTTTATAGAATATTTGTAACAATTGAATTATAATAATCTAGACTGCTGTGAGGACACCAGAAGCCTTTTCTTTACTCATCCAGTGGGGTCTCTTGACAGTCCGCAGGGGAAAAATTCTAACTGTTTAGCCCAAAATGGCTCCTTTTGTTATTTGCACTTCTTCATATACATTGCAGCAGTTCTGATGGAGGAACTTCTAACCTTTTGGTCTCTAATAGTGATGTGAGCCTGGGTCTGCCATTTATAAGCTACATTCTTTTGAACACGGAAGAACGCTCCCAGGGTCTTTGCTTTGTCACATGTAACATTTCTCATTTTTGTAGCTTACAACATTTACCCCTGAAACTTCAGACTTGGCTTTGCCTCTTGAGAGCTTGTGAGGCTGCACCTAGCAATGCTCAGTGAACTGGGACCAGAAGTCATGCGCTCCCAAAGCTGGTCTGTGGTCTACATAATGTGCTCACAAGAAGTGGTCCCACAGGAATGGCTCAACTACATAGAGACCTCACACTCCTACTGCACAGAGTCTGAGCACCCTTTGCAACTCCTCCCAGACGAGCTGCAGCTGCTCCCTGCTCCCGCTCACTTCAAACACTCCCTCCCACAACCCTTCATACACCCACCACTCACCTAATTTTCCATGGGCTGGCCTTACCCTGGACATTTCACTTCAACCTGACAGTTGGTTTGACACTAAGGGCAGGGTAAGTGTGGGCGTACAGACAGGGTCCCTAACCCTAAACCTAACCCTGACCTACCATTTACACAACACTTTCTTTGGATGAAGACCGCCCTTTTGAGTGTCAGATGATGATTACATTCTTTTGCCCCATGATCTCTCCAGCTTCACGTTATTGTAGTGTCAACTGTTCATCCACCCTCACAATTTGTCTTGGAAACAGAAACAGACTTTCCTTATGTTTCTGAAGAAAATTCCACATGGAAATGCTGTCAAGAATGGTGGTTGCTTTTTTGTCACACTTCACTAGTGTGGAACACAAACACCAAAACAATTATCATAACTATCCTGGTACAAATGATTTCCGACAATTGATTTGGGTACTTCGACTATGTGTCCTGTGTCCTGTGTGGCCTCACATGGTCTATCCTCAGTGAACATCTGGACTTGATGGCTCTGCACTGCACCTGGTCTGTTCTTCCCTGGGGCATCTTCATCTGAGAAACCTCCCGCACAAAACGCTGCAAACCACTTCCGACATGTTTGATCTGTCACAACACCTTCTCGTACACGCCACAAATCTTTTCTTCTGTTTACTGACATTCTCATCCTTCTTGAAATACCAAAACCTGCCCTGGCTAGCGTAGCTCGGTGGATTGAGAGTGGGCTGCAAACCAAAGCATCACAGGTTCGATTCCCAGTCAGGTACATGCCTGAGTTGCAGGCCATGACCCCCAGCAAATGCACATTGATGTTTCTCTCTCTTTCTCTCTCTCCCTTCCCTCTCTAAAAATAAATAAATAAAATCTTTAAAGAAAAAAAAAGTACCAAAGCCTAATGTGCTGAAAATATTACTTATGTTCGTCCACCTTCAATATGAAAATGGCCACACAAACACGTGACAATTTTCATGAGTTTTTCTTAATTCATGCTGATATGACATTTGTCATGGTACAGTATAACAAAATGGTTTTGAATGAATTTAAAGACAAGTACGTGAACCAGAGCCACGTGACAGGGGTGGGGAGATGGGGATGAAGGAAGGAATGGTGGGGACCAAACTAACTTTTTGGCCAACCAGGTATAAAACAGGCTTCACCCAGCATCGCAGCAGTGAGATTATGTGGAGTGTGTGTTTTGTTCTCATAGCACTTAAACTGGAATTCACTGAAAGTGGGTGACTTGAAAGTTCTGTCGTTTGGTACTTATGAAACAGACTAATAAATAACCCCCAAAATGAACCACTATTTGAGTTACAAAATAATTTGAGCTGAATGATTCTAAAAACATTACACACCAAAACTTCAGAAGGATATCTTCACCCTGGACT